ATTGTCAGTTCGACAGTCGAATCGACCTTTTGTATCGCTGCTAGTTGGCCGTACTTTACATAGCTTTGAAAAAAGATACTCTCTATGCTCTACCTACTCCATAATAAATGTAGAAAAAAACACAAATACTAATTCAAATGTCACAATGTTATTCGTAAGGACAATTTTGATAAAAGAAATCGGGGACCATAGCTTTAGTTAAAATAGATTTTTGTTAGGCATATAGGTATGTTACGAAAATTAATGACACTACTGACTATAATATATGAGTGTTAATTTGTAGATGCCACCGTAAAATTGTGAATATTCCGTCTGAATACAGACTAGAAAAGTCAAGAGGGAGAGAAAAAAGTGACAGTCGATATAAAAATGCATAAAAGAAAAAGAAGTTTCTCGCCAGCCAGGCGAGCGGCCAAGGAGTTTGGTCGTAAGCGACCTCTACAATAACAATTTCACTAGGCCGTCATTAGAAAGACCTGTACACCGTCAGATTATAATATAACTTTTTTTTGTTAGTGTATGTAGTAATACCACGCGTTGTATTATAAGCAGACCGAGTTCACAATTTGCAAATTAACAATAACTCCACGATAAATCAGCTGTACTTTAATATTATAGTAATATTACAACGATCCTTCTACGTATTCCAACGTTGTGACTAAGGTGTATCTAACGGGTAAAATGGAACTGTCATTTCGTGACGAGATTGGATTTTAAATCTTATTAATTGTCTATTAAAGTTATTTTTGGCGCACGTTCCCGATAAAGTCGATTATGTGCTGACCTTTGTTTCGATCTCGATTTAATTAGAGTTATGTAAACAACCAAGGTAAACAATTGTGTTTATGTATTATTTTTATCCATATGATTTAGTTTACTTCTTAATTTATTCCATAAAAAGTAATTAAACAGTTACAAAAGAATTCTTTATAATAACTATGACAATTATTTTGGTTTTGTTATGCCTAAAAATATCCAAAACCATGTACCTACTAGTTTTAACGTAGAATAAAGACAAATGAACGTGATGCGTCTATAAAGGGCAAAACATTTATATTTGGCATCTAAATTGCATTGAAAGTTCTAGGTAACAACACATTACACGCTATAAATGTCTTGGAATGCAATATCGCAACTCATTTTATATTTACAAAGCTTCGTTTCGATTCCACTGAAACGGAATTGATACTTGATGGAATATTCCGAGGTTAATTTTAAGTTTAAAAAGTACGTTGAGGGTTTAGTATCGATCGTGGCCCCAAACAAACATTTGTCATTTGCTAGTCAGGTGATGTTTGAACGAGGACCTCTATTAGACTCTACTAAGCTTAGAATCCTCACACACGACACGCGTTTCAAGCTTAATCGTTCCAATAACTGTGCTCCATTTCGTAGCGAAATTAAATACCGCATCTTTTAACAATAACTGTGATCTAGAAAATATTATAAAGAAAAGGAGTCATACCTAGCTTCTGGCCTAGAGGGGGAGACCAGATTATCGCGGCTTATCGCGGTTCCGGAGTAATGTCGTGATTCTTTAAGACTGAGTTGCACCATCAAACTTTGAGCGTGACTATAACGATAACCGGCGATTTTTGTATGGAGTTTGACAGGTTTTTGACGTTTGTTACAGTCAAAGTAAGATGGTGCAACCCACCCTAAGTAAGTCTATCCTACTGCTGCAGTTATGGAAAGGATTCAATTGATTTGTATGAAATATTTTTCTAATCAGTAACTCAAATTAAGAAGCGTTCGTTTGTAAAAGACAGGTGTCGCTGCTTTATGTTAAGGCCCCTCGCCCACGGCGACGTTTTGTAGCGACGCAGTAGCGATTCTGTCGCGCGTTCGCATCGACACAGTCTCAATTCGGTCGCTAGCTGTGTGCCCTCGCCCACATAAACGCGTTTCTGTCGCGATGCAAACGCGATTCAGTAACCCTCCCTCCGTTCTCTCCCCGATGTCGTCCGACACGGTCGCGCGTTTGCATCGATACAGTCACGCTGCTGTAGCGCGTTGGCATCGCTTCTGTAGTGCGTTGCAAATGCGACTAACGCGAGTTAGTAGCGATGCTGTCGCATGTATGTCAGCATCACTACAATAAGTCACCGTGGGCGAGGGCCCTAAGCTCATGTCGTCGCTTGCCTCTCTAACTGACGTAACTGACATTTTGCAAAATTTTCAGGCGATTAGACAGATCGATTCGTCTTGCAAAACTGTGTGCTTACCATGAGTTTACGTTAGGTGTGCTCGCTAGCGACTACGTAAAAAAATTACATTAATTGTATGACATATTGTGCAGCGCCCCTAGCGGCTACTTTCAAGAAACAAAATCTTCATAGATATTTTTGACGTACTCGCTAGCGAGCACACCTAACGTAAACTCATGGTAGGTGCACTGATTATGATGGTGTAGATAACTCAGTTTCGAAAAAAATGTCAGATACGTCTGTTAGAGAGGCAAGCGACGATGTGCGAGGGCTCTAAGGATTCACGAGGTGCTTTATTAGGCACCAGCCGTCGCTTATCGGCTCCGGGGTAATGACATGATTAAAAGCTTTTCCGTGGCGGGACTTCCCCAGCCTGAACGGTAATGGGGGTGTATCAAAAAGTGGTAGATTGTGTTTGTAACTTTGTACAAGATGTTTGGAGGTTATGGTAAGGTAGATTTTTTTTTGGCAGTGCGTATGAAAGAATTCCAAATGGAAGAGATTTGGAAATCATCAAATTTTGCGACATCGATAAACAATACTTGTAAATGGGGTTTACGGTAAAAATTGAACTGAAAAGTTTTTGAACAACATTTATTTTAATTTTTTGTGTACTCAGCTCTAAGGTCCGAATTCAAAACCACGTTTTGAACTTGATTCAATCTCACTTTGACTTCTGTAATTAACAGACCTATCTAATTATTAAAGTTCAGCCAATAAAAACCTTTGAAATATAATCGAATTTCCAGCTTCACACTGTAAAGGACGAAGCACACTTATCAACCCGGGAATGGATCGTAATCGTATCAACTCGAGGCGGTCAGTATTCTTTGTATGAATCTCTGTATTGTAACGTACATTTTTCCGCACCGTACCGTAAAAGCCTCGCCTTGCGTGCTGCAAAAGGCGGTGCCCTTTCCGGGTTGATAAGTGTGCTATGGCCTTAACACGGACCTAAGTCTCAGATACGCAGCCTGAGCTTATCGCCAGTAATGTGTGACTAACGGGCGCCTCGTGACAGGCGTATCCTGGCACTTCTTCTTTACATACTGACATAAAAAATGAGTGGTTGTTATTCTTGAGATCTCTTTACTAAGAGGGTTGAATGTCGACCGAGTTTAGGTGAGAACGTAACGGCTAAAAATGGCTAAGGCGTCGACGTTTTAGGAATAGTACCTACATTGAAAAATAAGCTTTATTGGCTTGTTCTTGTTACTCATGTGAATTTTGGGCAAGAAAAAAGTTTTAAAATACTCCATCAGAGATACAAACTTGGTTGTGGCTTTTATTGGAGGTCAAGCTGCAGATCCTGGCTATACAGGAATTACAGCGGGGGGAACGAGAGGGGAATAGTCCCGTATACTCAATGATGTTGTTAATTGTTTAGCAAGAAAAGTAATTAGGTAGTTACTTTCAGAAAATTACGGACCAAATATAAAATTAAATACATGTGGCATCCATATTACATGAAAGTTACGAGTAGAATGAAGAAATACTGGCTGTTTAAAAGCCAGAATATATTATTTTAGGTCTATTGCACGTTTGGGAAAATCTAGAATAAGCAATGTTAAAATATAAATAAGTGTCTGACCCTTCACCTATAAAGCTGTCTGTGCCAAGATGGCTATTCTTTTAATGGACCTTTATTCTATTTGCGAGGCAAGTCTTGATGCGTTTTTCGTATTTCGGCATATTAGTTTCGTTCCAGGCGTTGCAGCCCATATGTGCCCATCCATATGACCTTGGTATGAGCTAGGTACTCCTTAAAATTCAATACAATAGAGCTTGTTCAATCAATAGGTATTGTGGTGAATCTCATCACGATCTAAAAATGTGAGATATACTCGTATGGAGCTGTCCAGTCTGCAGTCCAGCATCGACTTACTTAGGAATTATGAAAATTAGGAAAAGCTAGCTAAATGACTGACGCCCGTATTGACAAACATTACTATGAGGTCTCACAGCCAATCACAGAGCTCTATTCAAGTCTGTGCGTTCGATTTGCTGCTTCACTTAAGCAAGCATCGTTTATGAATATGAGCGTTAATTTCTGAGACTAATAAATACTTAATGACAAAAACAGGCGACTTGATTCAGGGAATGGTTCAGCAGAATTGCCGCCAATATCAATCTCGGCGCTGTCGTCGGATGTTGTACCCTCGAGCGAGGGTCTAGTTTCCGCGATCATCTATCACAGCTCGCATTGTCAAAGTCAAAGCGAGTGTGGAAACGTCACACGAGCTCCTCGCGAGTTCGCGAGGTACATAAACATGGGTTAACGAGAATTATACGGTATACAAAGCCTTTACCTAATAGAACGAGTTTATCGCGATTGATCGGGGCTAACGGGACTAGTCGTGCAAAAATAAATTACTAATAATTCTTAAAAAAAAGTTGCAGGTCTTCAGTTCATCCACAAAATAATGATTTTATTTCGAAAACCAAACAACAAACCAAATAAATATAATTAAAAACTCTGTAAATATGTAAAAAAATTTTTTTTCTTACTTTTGTTCTCTACCATTTTTTTCAGGTTGAGCTAGTTTATTTTGTTTATCAATTCTGTTATATGTTAAAAAACGAGTATCTATCAATTAAGTAAGGATTATCCACACTTGATGGTCTGCGGTTAGGTCTAAGTAAACGCACAGCACAACCCGCATCATGTACGATTACCTACTTTGATCTGACCGCAGTGACATAACCTTTAACCGCGTTCTTCGTTACAATGTCATTCGAAACTACGTAGGGGACCCCCTTTAACCTATTTACAATATTTTTATTTGTTCTCAGTGCAACACTATGCGGGGTATTGGTGGCCGTTTGCGCGGCGTGCTGGCGACGTGCGCCGGCGCCTGACAAGCCCGATGACGTCACGTGCGCGGGAGTTTACACAGTCAGCAGCGACGCGAGACTTACACAGGTATGACTAGAAATAACTAAAGACGGGAGAACTTTATGTAGTTGTAATAAGTGTTAATTTGCTATAAAAATGTACGTATAGTCTGATGTGCTCTCTATGATAAATGGGAATTATTTTTTCGGCGCCATGATGGAAAAATTACGCAGCTTTTAAGCTTCTTCTAGAAGCTTTATAATTATTTCTAATATTTCTCTAATATGTCCATGATACAACGGACAGGTCAACATAATTACAAAGGTATCAAATAACATAATCCAATTAACGTATAAAAGGTCAACGTAACAACAACATTGTTATACAATTATTTGCGGCGATTTTCATTTTAAAGGTTTATAAGGTTTACGATATCAAATGTTAAGAATAACAATACCTATCACTCAACAAGTGTACCAGTGTTAAGTCGGGCTGTTAATGACTATGAACTCATTAATCAGTGCGTGCGTATTTTCATACTTAAGTACCTAAATTACACCGATTTGGTATCGGCTGATCCTTCATACAAAATTGAAGCCGATCAACCCTATCGGCCGACAAAAATTCTGTGGTCTGTGAGGTCTCAAGCATCAGCGTTAGTAAAAATAGCCCCAGCGAAGGAAGCGACATCTGTTCTGCTTAAATACCACACATTTAATCATGCAGTCCTTTTAAATGTCAGAGACGATTAAACAAAATGCAGGAATCTCGTGCATCCTGGAATCGAGTTAGTAATTCTGATAGTGGGCACGCTGTCAGCAGCTAATGAACACTCGTGTAGTGACTTCTGACGTAAAGGTCAGGGTTGAGCAAAAAGGGATGTAAAGCGAATTACGTTTCAGTTACAAGCTATTCCAGAAAAGGACACGTGCTGTTTTTGCCGTGAGGCTGAGGAGGGATTCCAATTCCTTCTCTCAAAATTGAATGGCCTTCTAGAGACTTAATGGTCTGTATAATTTTCGCAAAGTTACTTCAAGATTGAAACATGTGTGATGCTTACTTATAAAGTAGGGTTATTTAATAGATAAGGAAGGAGTCACTGGATTATTCTCTTCATTGTTTCAATTGCACACTATGGGCTTAAAATTTTAAATGGGCCAAAATTGAAGTCAGACTAGTAAACCTACTCGTATGTATATCTTTTCGGGGTTAGTCGGAAAATAAGAAAGAATTATGGGATAAAATATATTCTTAGATCGGTCTATGGATAACCTAGACTTTATATTAGCTAAAAAAGTACAGCTAGCTATGTAGAATTAGACTACTGCACACGAGGATTTATAAAGAGAGGTACTTACTACTATAGAAGTTAAAAGCAAAATAAGAGTAAATTTGCCCGAAATGTAAAGTCCACAATTTATCAATAATAACAACTGGCACACTAATGCATGGTATGACATGACGTGTACCGTATTGAATTTTGGAAAGATATTTTGAAAACTTTCAATGTAAAAATATGTAGAGTCGACTGTACCTACGTATGATATCGAAGTGACTGTTGAATCTGATTGCTTTTTGCCGAGTATACGTGGGTTCTGGGCTCCGTAGGGCGTAACGATTTCTTGCCAGGGAGTTTGTGGTTGACGTATGGCTAAAGGCCAAAGGTAACACACAACTGGTCTACTTAAGATTATTCTAGGAAATAATTCTTAATTATGGCATCTATTTTGTAGAACTAGCACCGAGGTTTAACCTGTAATAGAGGCTCTATTAGACTAATTAATTGACAAACTATCCTTAACTAAAATTCACTGAAAGATTATGACTAAATAAGATTTTGCTTTGAGATAAACTTGAAAATATTCTAAAATTATTAAGTACACTATAAGCTTGCAGTGGGTAACCTTCTTTATTGTCTACAAATAATAGGAATAAGTATAAAAGATTTTGTAGATACAAAAACGTTAACATCAAGTCACGAGAGGAAAGACTTTGCAAGTCAAAAAATGTCGTCTACAATTCATATTGCCACTCAGACAAGGCTTATTGCAAAAGGATTCAAAATATTAGTTGTTTTGGGACTACTCGTTATATTCTTTAAATATTCAACTGACATTCTGGTATACGAAATTGCACAAATTGTATAAGAATTTGTGTACAATTGGTTGCGAGAAAAGAGCAAATTAGAAAAGTGGACATGTTTCTCAGAAACATTGATTTTTATGAAACAACTATTTGCTAAATTCAGGTAAAGATAAACTGGAGCTGTTTTGCACTAAAAAAATGGCTAGTATGATGTATCAATCACTTTAATTGAACGTTGGTTGTGGTGAACCCATTCATAACACAAGCATATTGAGCTTAGCACGAGGGGTTAACGGGGCTATTAGTAATTTGTGCAATGGAAAAAGAAAAGAATCCAGCTTTTTGTTTGTTTATTGAGGCTAGAAAACTACTGGAAAACGCAGCGTGTGGACGTCCACCTACAAGGTGGACCGACGACATCGTAAAGGTAGCAGGGAAGCGTTGTCGCAGGCCGCTACCAATCGATCAACGTGGAAAGCATTGGGGGAGGCCTATGTTCAGCAGTCAAAATCAAAAAAATCATTTATTTACATACATCACACATATTTTTACATATAGACAGTGGACGTCCTATGGCTGAAATGATGATGATGATGATGATTGAGGTTAGATGTGCATCCCAATAAGCAGATTAGCTAACAAAGGGGTCCCTCAGCAACTAAGCGTGCCTAATTAATCTAATTTATGTAATTATGTGGGTTAATTACCCATTATCGGCTATAATTAAATGTTTAAGGCTTCACGGGTTTTCACGCGTACTGTCCAAGGCAATTATAGCCGTTCTCGAGGAATACTCGTTATAAAAATTTAGTTTTATTGTATTTTGGGAGAAGATAGTTTGAATTGGCACCCACATATTCCTTTATCATAGCAAAATACGAGTAGAGTGTGCAATAGCACACCACACAAAACTCTCAAATAAAAGAAAAAATATACCTACTCGTACCTATTTATCACTTAAGTACGTATGTAGTTAGTTTACCTACGTATTGCTTAGTAGTCTGTATTTTTTATGTCTTTACTAATACGGATTTAAAATGACTGTCAGATTATCAATTGAATTAACCATTCGATTTCATCATTCTAAAAACTACTGTTTTCTTTTGTGACCTGCAAGACTTGCAATAAATAATGTAAAAATTGCATTTCCATCGAGCAAATCTCGGTCAAAAGTGCTTTAACGAAATGTTAGCATAGAAGACGATGGACCCAGCTTGGAAAACAAGAAAACGAAGAAAACAACCACTCGACTATCCCTTTGTGTAATAAAAACTTGACTGTGCTCTGTTTCGACGTTTTCTTGAGTATTGAAAGTTTGCTATAATTTGTTATCAATTGCATAGAACATGGAAATACTAAAATATAATAAAATGAAAAGATTTTTTACAGTAGTTACTGAGGGGTTTTTTCAATGTTTTTTATGAAATATTTACAAAAACTCAAAACAACAAGCGCTTTTTTTCAGTACCTACTTATCATTGATCTTATTCTATCTTCAGAAAAAACTAACGATCGAACTTACGCTCCACAACTTTAGCGGCAGCGTTTTGTTTTTGAAACAAATGAACAACGAAAATCTAGTCCTAAAAACTTGCATGAATAACTCCTGTATTCACAAACATTACTATGAGGTCTCACAGTGCGCGTGGACGCACAGGGTGACACACGAACCAATCACAGAGCTTTATTCAACACTGTACGTTCGATTTGCTGCTTCACTTAAGCAAGCATCGTTTGTGAATACGGGCGTAAGATATGATACCTAGCTGTTATTAATATTATAAATAGATCCGTCTTCTAGAGGCGTGCACTCAGGTATTTGCCCAAGAATGCGCCCCCACAGTTGCACCTGCAAGTATTTGAGGCACGCTTTGCGAGTGCATTGCGTATCGTTAACAGCACGTTAGGCAAGCTTTGGCTTGTTAAATCGTATACAGGGTGTTGATTTCAATACCCGCCATATTTAGGGAGTTGATTAAGTAGCTTATTCTGATCACGAATCAGCAAAAAAACTGACTTCAAATTTTTTTTAAATTATATTTTAAATATCTACGATTTCCATAATCGACCACTACAGTGCAGAATAGTCCCCCAACGCAAACGGCGCGCGGCGCTCACCCGATGACCCGGGCAAGCGCTGCGCCCCCCGTCCCGCGCCCCACTACCCGCGCTCGCCCATGAGTCAGTCAACTATCAGCCACAATCAGCTGTGAGTTCAACGACGACTACTGGACGGAGCTTAATCCAAATCTACCCTAAAAATGTAATGAGTAAATTAGTTACTTACACCTTATCACGTTACGAGTTTATTTTTTGCTCTAAAAACTAATTAATTAAGCCTAGGTCTTTAATAAAAAAACCTTTTACACGAATTTGCTTCCTTCCGCAAAATAAAAAAATTTACAAAACCTACATTTTTTTTTTAATTTAAACCATGCTTTTATGTGTGTGATAAGCTTGTACCTAGTTACTTATCATTCAAAAGTACTGTAAACAGATGACAATAATGCTCTTTCATACAGGTTCGTTATTCCTTACATTTCTAGCTCTCTACCTTAATAACTTTTACGTTTTAATTTCTATCGGCGTTTAATTTAAATTCCCTGAACGACTGTTGGGCTGTTAGTTAGGTTCAGGTTAAACTTCCATTCTTCATAACTTACATAAAATAATTCATCATCATGTTCGTGATTATTTTAAATGAACTTAATTTCATTACTTACACGAAATAACTATCAAAATGTATTGATATTCTTATCGTTTTAATAATAACGATTGAGCTACTACAAATCATTTGCATTTGAGTATTTTGGAAGCTGGCTATAAGAGCATTAATTATGATAGGACGGATCTTTAGTTAACAAAGATCTTCGGTCATCGAATGTGCTTTTCTAATTGCAAATTTGCGATTTTTGATTGATTTCTCGTGCGGTTTTGAGTAGTTAGTGTGTGAACGTGTGATAGTGAGTGTGGTAATAGTGAGTGAGTGTTAGGAATATGCC